ATATTCCAGTAGAGTGTGAATACAGAGGGGATTTGTGGGATATTGAGCGGAATCTGTGATTACTTCAGTGGACGGAGGTAAGACTCGTGTTTTTGATGTTTGTTGATCACATGGACTATTCAGACACCAGATGTGAGCATCTCCCATGCTTCTGTCAATGAACTCTCCCATTATTAACAATTAATGAAGGAGCAAGAGGTAAAAAGTCACTCCAGCTGTGAATGATAAGATTAATAACACGATTTGGAAAAGAATGAACTCTGAAGGGCAGCTTGCAGTAATATTTGGCATTTCATGTTCTGTTGTGTTCCCTTTCCCCCCCACCCTCATTCTCCTTTACTTGGTCATTTCATGAGAGAGTTACAAGGGCACCAGGCCTCTGAATCTCTTCCACTTATTATATTTCTTCAATTCCAGACATTTTATATTTTTATATCTGTAAGGCCACAGTTTGGGGGCAAACAAAAACTCCTTTCTAAAAGCAAAAATCAATCATGATAGTGCACACCCACACAGAATACTGATCCTTTAGCTGTGATTTCACCAATTTAACAAACCTACACTACTCACTGGAGCACCTCACATTTTACTGTACAAGCTTTAGGTTCTTTTTTTTTTTAAGTGGTGGTGTTAAAATGCCGTTACTTTCCAAATGATGTGAAAAAATAATCAATATTTCAAATTGTTCTGCAGACGTGACGGTTCTGTACAACAACAAGAACAAGAAGAACAAACAAAAAAAAAGCCAAAAAAACCCAAATCACTGAAACCAAAAGGTGTATGTCAATAATCAGCATTTGTCTCTTTTAGAGACAGAACAGGGTTGATGGGGCTGGATTAGGACCCATTGGGACAGTGCAACCTCCACCGTTAGATACTGATGCCCACCACCGCTCCACCACCACGGTGGTCTGACAGTCACACAAACCCCTGCAGAGCTAAGCATGGGGCAGTATTGCATAGATACAGTATAGGGTGTAGCTTTTCACATATTCAGTCACAGTGGTTGGGCAAAAACAAGAAAACCTTTTTTTTTCTTTTCTTTTTTTCCTCGTCTGTGTATTTTCTGCCCATCAGAACATCCGTGAAAAAGTCTCGAGTGGTCGGTCTGACAGCAAGTACTCTGGTATTATTACAAACGGAGTCACCACGGTATAAAAAAATAGCCTTTCGCTGAGGTTGTCGAGTCTCCCCCGTCAGTGCTGAAAGGGCCCTTTGCCAGGCTCAAGGGTCACAGTGCATTGCCCCCCACCCCACCCCCACGCCCCGCATGCTTCTCTCAGAGCTCCTCCTTCCGCTTGACAACCTTCTCCTGGTCGCGTCCTCTTAAGCTGCGCATGAAACCCGTGAAGCCTGCCTCCTGTGAAGACAATGAAAGTAACAATCACCACAGCATATTTCTCAACTTGAAGCGAGCTCTCAGCCAGTCCTGTGGATAAACCTCATCTTCACCTGATGGTGAGGGGAAGGACAAAATGTAAATACCGCCACTGTGCTTGAGGTCGGGCTGCACAGTCGTTTCTGCTGCTGTCCGCAGATAATTCTCCACGTACGGTTGAGTTGAGCTGGACTGAGCTCTGAACCATTTGATGCTATAAATAATTCAGTTGATACATGATTTCAGGCCATGGCAGTGTGTCCACAGGCAGGGGGAGGGAGGCAAGGTGTGGAAAAAGTAAAGCCAACCCACCCCCCCGTCACTGAACAACATCTCGGAGGTCGTTTCTGAGTTTCTGACACAGGGAGAAGAAGTGCAACAGCTGGAGTGAAGAAATAACAGCATTAATGATACATCTTTTTCTCCACTACTTTCAACCCTGTTGTAATTTCTGAACCAGCTGAACTATCCAAATCACGCATCTCAAACACAAGGCCTGAGGGTCAGAATCGACCCGGCAGACTTCAATCCGGCCGACCAGACGTCTGTGGAAAATGCAAAGTGAGCGTGTGAACAGATTTTTATTTCAAGATTAACAGCTTTGATACCCCCTATCCCTTCTTTACATACTACACTAAAGTCATTAAATAATGGATAAACAATTACATGACTATCTGCTATAGAAATGTCAGTTTTTAGACAGCGAGTCCAAAAGAAAAGAAACGGATATTTTCTATAAATTGTACTTTGACCTTATCTCCAGTTTTACGCATTTATCATGTAAATATGTTATTATCTAGTGTCACTGCTCCAGCTTGCTTAACATTAA